TTGAATTCTGCAAAAAAAAAAAATTTATAAAATAGCGGTTCTAAAATAATAAATGATAATTATAATTATAGAATATTGAAAAGGAAAAATTTAGAAGTAAAAAAAATGTAAAAATGTAAAAAAAACAACAGGAAAGAATGTTAAATTCAGCTGGACCGAATCTGTAACACACTTCACATTTACAAAAGGTTACTTAAGAGCTTGTTTTTGATCGCTGAGTTTGTATGAAAGCTAAGGGCTATAGTCGACCGATGTCGGTGGTTCCTAAAAATTAGAAAATTATTGGAAAGAAAAGGACGTGAGCAAAACTTCTAATCAAAAACTACCATAAAGTTTAAGCCAAATACTATAATAATATATAATGAAGTAATGTAACTTATAACTTCTAAGTTTGAAATTTACACAAATTTAGGATGTAATTTTAAATTGAACATTCATATAGTACAATTGATTCTATAAAATACAATAGTCAGTAAAATAAAATACATGTTTCCAACCATGCACTGCAAAATCAAAAGCGCAAAAGCAAACAAACGCAAAAATCTCAATTCACAACTCAGCTGGCATTTCTTCATCAGCTACGCATAAACGTTGGCGCATGCGCGCACCTACCAACTTGGTTACCTGTCACTGCACGCTTACCAAACACACCACAGCCGCAGACACCGAGGCTGGACTGCTGCCAGACAGCTGCCTTGCTTTGGTGGCTTTACGCTCGCCTCATACAACGACTAACAACAGCCATGCTTGGCGCTGTTGTTAACAGAATTGTATCGACCACTAAAGCGTGCGGTTGAAGACGCGGCTAAACGCGGTTTAAATAATTTGGTGCAACTACAACTTGTGCAAATTGGTGTGTGAAGTTCAAAATTGCATTGTATCTCTTAATACATACATATATACACCTATATAATATGGGCAAAAGCGAAGTTTATACAATTTTTTTAAAGCAATTTGAAATTTAAATATAATTTGCTACGGATAAAAGTGCGCGTTGGCTAAAAATAGCCGTGTTAAATACATGCGTAAACAAAATATACAGCAACATTTAGATAGAAGACAATAATATACGAAAAATAGCCAAAGGTGGCAATAATTATAAACATAGTAAATAGTCAGCGACGATTAAACGACTGTTTGGCCGTAAAGCAGCCGCTGCGACTTTTGAACGTTGCTCAATAACGCGCCGAGGTTATCGACGATTCGATCATACAGCTTGATGATCTTTGTTGCTGGTTTTTTCCATATAACTATGTTTGATTTTTTAACTGCAGCGTTCAAAGTGATTGCAACCGCGGCTACTAGTTTTGAGTGGCCGCAATGAAAATGAATGTGTTCAACCAAAACAAAATGTTAAAATCCAAAAATCGCTGTAAATTTGTGAAATGTAAACAAGATGTGTGCAAAGAGCGAAAATGTTTGAAGAAAATATATATAATTATATGCGAAATTTGTAATTTATAAAAAATGCTCTAAGAATTTGTAAATCTAAATTTATAAAACAAAAAAACATTATAAGCAAATACAAGACGTGATATGCAAAAAAATGTATATCTTATTAAAGCGGATGTTTTAAGAGTTTTGGAGAAAAAAATATATATTAACAAATTAAAACTAAACGAAAGGTGCTACAAAAACATTTTATTAACAAAATGATGTTCAAAAAAATTAAGAATGAAAAAATTTAATATTTAGAAAAAAATTATTAAAAGAAAAAATATTTATTTTTATAAAATGTGCAAACAAAGTTTATTAATAAGAATTTTCCAATTAAAAAAGTCCCGAAAAAATGAATAATAACCCAAAGATGTTAGAAAACTATATTTTATTAATAAACATGGAGCGTGCATAAACCAACTTAAATACAATTTAACATAAAAATTAATTTAAATTTAAAAAAATGTTCACAAATAAAATTAAATTTAATTTAATAAAAAAATGTTTGATTAAAAAGCTAAACTAAGTAAATAGAAAATATTTTTTAACTAACGTGAAACAAAATTTTTGAATGATTAGAAATTTAATTAATAAAATTTCTTAATAAGATGAGGGATGTTAAAAGAACATTTATTATTAATAAAGTTGGAGTGTGCATAAAAAAATTTGTTTAATTTTTTTCTAGAACAAATTTAATTTTTGTATAAAGTAATTTTTCTGTTATTAATTAAATGAAAAATTTAT